TTTTTCCAACAATATATATATATATATATATATATATATATATATATATATATATATATATATATATATATATATGCACACACATATATACATACACACACACACACACATATATATATATGTATGTATGTATGTATACACATACATATATACAATAATATTACATATTCAAATTTATAACATACCACTTCAAACATGGATAATGATGCATTTTTTTATATCTAAAATTATAGCTTTTTTACAAATGTATTTAGCTGATCATTTAACTGAGTAACTTTTGAACAATTAAATTCTTCCAATATTTTCTAGCTCCTTTCAGTTTTGTCCAACTCTTTCTAGTTTCTTTTAACCCCTCTAATTCCTTCCAATATTCAGCTCTGAAATTCTTATTTAAAAAAAGAGTGTTAGTTCAAATGTCATTGCTAATATATGTTTTCAAAACATAAATTAGGATCCAGAGAATAGCGTTTGCAAATACATTTTTTTCAAAATTTGAATTAGGGAGAATACATGAATGAGCCTTTTTTTTTGTTTGTCAAAACACAGCAAAGTGTGTGCCACAAGCCACTTGCAAGTTGCATTCAGCTGTCCATAAGTTTAAGTGTGAAATGAGATTAGGAAAGTTTAAGGATGGAGGAATTGAACATCAATCAATCAATGATGGAATCAATGAATTTTCGATCGGTCATGTCTTGCGGCGTCGATCCGCTCACATGGGGTGCCCATATTTTCTCATGCTTAGATAAGTTCCGCGTTCTTTTCTTGGTGTTTTGCCCGTGGATAATACTCCCTCCGTCCTAAAATTAAATTCTCATTTAACTTTTCACAGTCTCCAATGCGACACTTTGATCATCAATATCTTAACTTTTATATAAATATATTTTTTAAAAATTATATATTTCAAAACTATGTTTCAAAATGAATATATTGCTAACAAAATTATATGAAAATTCAATATATTTTTTTTGTAATATATGGTCAAAGTTTAAAAAATTTGACAATAAAAGTCAAACTGGGAAGTTAGTTTTAGGACGGAGGAAGTAGTATTTGTACCCAAGATTTGTACTCTATTTTGTACGCTGCAGGGATCAATCAACATTTTATGTTGGTCGAATGCTAGTTATTGTTAATGCACTAACACTTTATGTTAGTGTAAATTTTTGTTAATGTACCAACACTTTGTGTCAGTATGAACCATCAAAATGTTGGTGCATACCTTTGGTGTACAAATTCTGGGGTACATGATGCAGCATGCTCCCTTGCGTGTTCACCAATTCAAGTTAACGCTCAGGATCCTGGGCACCATCACACTCCGGTCCGACAGAATAGTGAGTATGGTAAATTATTTTATAATCTTAATCTAGTCTTTAGAGATGTTATTTCGTTCTTGGTGTGCACATGAAGTTATTACAAAGAATAGAATTCTCACACTGTCGTTGTCACTGCAAAAATTCGACCCTAGAATCTATGAGCTTGGCATCCTCTTCTTGGACCATATATGATAGTTTTGCCACATATGATAACAATTTGATCCATAGATAAAGCAAAAAATATACGGAGTATGGTTTTTACAATAACAAAACGCAAGGGGCTCTAACTATTGGATCGTGCCAGGGGCTCTCGCCCCTAGCTTGGACCCTCCTACGATGGATTGTCACCCCTGAACCCCCTTTATGAATTTGTAATATAGTTGCATGAGCGTGCACTCTACATCTTCTAAATCGTTTGACAACGTCTATTCAAATTCTTATCTAATCTAAGTAAATTAAATTAAACAAAATAGTCAATGACATTAAAATCACCAACATAAGAAGTATCTAATTTATTAAAGAGATTTTATCTCTTTTACAAAAGTATAGTCCCGGCGGCCTCGTAAATTTTCAATAGAAAGAAGGCGTGAGAGTCCCAGACTACTCCCAATTCAACTTGAACTTCATATTATAACTTGTGACAGATTGATTTTCCTCGATCTATTTCCTAAAATGGAAGGAGTGGAGAAACAGTTAGTTAAATATTGAGGTGGATCTAGAGTTAATTATGATTACTTGTCTATTAATTAAGAAAACTATACAGTTGTGTAGGTACGGATGAACAAAGTCCAATGGTGCACTCAGATCTGAATTTGGAGTAATATCGAGGTACATTAGCTAATTACGGAGCACAAAACTCTATAACTATAAATATGCCTCATGTCTGCATTAAACCCACATTTACGCCGCCTCCTTACGCACGAACCCTCCCTCGTAAGTCACTCTCTCATTCACTCATGTCGATCAAACCAGAAGCCAGACCAAGAAGAAGATGAAGAAGAAGAAAGACAATGAGAACACAACACTAATTCAAGTTGAGTTTGTGGGCATCTAATGCTAGAGTGGATATTTGGGTTTGAAATCTTTGTTCGTAATCCTTGTGTTATTGAATTATATGAAGACTTATGTAGAACAGTAGAAGCATGGTTTAGGCATTGAAATGGTAATTATTGTTTTTTATAACATGTATGGATTGTAAGTGATGTTATAATGTGGTTACCAAACGTGTATACGACCAAAAATGACACAAAACATAGTGTTCCGTGCTGCACCAGGTCAGAACTATGACAGGTGGTAGGCCGGTACAGTGCTACCATCCAAGTCAAAAGTCTTTGTTGGTCAATGTTGGCGGTCAATACCTCTGTACCAGATGGGCGGTATTTTGCTACTGCCAGGTGTTATCCATTTGGTGCCTCAAGAAAGAATCCTCTACCGGTCACTATCCCATACGGTAACCAGGTATTGGTGGCGATACCTAGGTACCGTCTGAGACCTTGTGTGTTGCATGATGGTAAGTGTGGGTGTCAACATCCTACAGTAGGCTGATAATTGTTGTTATGAATAACTGTTATGATTGTGTTGCATTGATCCAACACTTGTATGTAATAAATATGTTTTGGTTGATCCAACCATTGAAAGTTATGATAAACCACGTGTTGATCCAACACGTAAATTACAAGTTACAGCTTGTATTGACCCAACTCCTAAGAGATATGTTAGTCTGCCCCCTAGAAGAAATCTAGGACCTATAAGTTGTAATAACAGGTGTCTCAAAGAGGTTAGAGCCATCATGTGGAACAAGAACATTATATAGTGGGCATCAAGGTTAATATGAATGGGGCTGAAGCTGTAAACTGGGGCGAGGACACTATGAGCAGCAGCAAGGACAATATATCTTAAAATAGAATAAAAGAAAGGACATTATGATCTAGGACAAAATACAATGAGTTCACTGTGAATAGAACCTCCAAAAAAACTAAACACCGTGAAATTTGAACTAGGTTTAATCTTAACCATATATTTACAAAAAGATTCTGGCACAAGCATGATTGTCAATTTATAGATATGAGAGTAAAATTGGCCCAAAATTGGTTGTATATGAGAGCAAAATTGAATGAGCAAAACTTGACACTCATCAGAGCACTGGAAATACCCGTGAAGCCCCGAGGCTTCAAACTTTTTCTTTCTGCCTCGTCAGCTTTAACTTACCTCACATATTCACTGTGAATAGATTTGAAGCCCCAGGGCTTCAAACTGGGGCTTACAAACCTTTTTTTAAATTTTTTTAATTCACATTTTTTTTTTCAAATTAATGAATAAAATGTAATGAATTAATTAAATTTAAACGATAATAATTCATAAATAGAATATATACATTCAATAAAAAAGAACATTTAATTAAAAAATTAAATTCAATAAAAACATTAAATTTAAAAAATTACATTAATTAAAAAACTAAAGCAAATCAGATTTAGTCTTGATCTCGTTTTTTTCTCTCGTAATACATACGTTTGGAACCAATCGTGTCACTTTTTTTTGTTCCGGTTGAGTCTCCAAAACCGGCTCCAGGTCCTTGACGTTCACTGAGGCTTGCGTTTCAAACAACGATGGATTATTCCCGTACGTCCAGAAGAGTCACATCGCGTACTCATTTGGGTCGAGAAGGATTTGGAGAGGTTCATGATAAAAATAAATAAAATACTTGAATAATAATGTTTTAAAGAAAGATGATTGATAGATAGAGAGTGATTTGTATTTGTGTTGAATTTTAAAAAAATTGATTGAATTTGTAGAGAAGGAAAGAGGAAGAAAAAGGAAGAAAAGATTTTTTTGAATTTGTAACTCTAATACGCTATTATAGCCTCGCGTCAAAAATTAACGGCCATTTTAGCCTCGCGTCAAAAATTAACAAGGCCATAACGGAGGAAAGGACGGTATTTAACACCCCCTTGCGTCAAAAGGGCCTTAACGCCACTGGGCGTGATGCCCATGACCAGTGCCCTCAAAATGGATCATCCAACCCATTATCCAAATGTGATTACACCATGATGAGTTAAACATGACGTTTGAAGTGTTTAGAATTGTGGGCCCACCAAACGCCTTTACCCAAAATTTATTATAGTTAGAACGATTCAACTGCATTTGAAGGTTACAAAAAAGGTGATGTGACGTAAGCATGATCGTATATTCAAATTTAGTGACAAGTGGTCGCCATAATGTATACGGATGAATCCGTATAATTATACACACAGTGAAATTAGTCTAACCAAAACGTGTGTAATATTCCAAATTAGGTGCTTCGTTGACTATTTAGCAAAGTCAAACAGATCTAAAGTGAACACTCAAGCCACTTTTTCCCCCTTAGCTTCAATAAACCCCTCCCATTCCTCACCTTTTCTTTAAATACCAATCTATTATTTACCCATTCTAATCAAACAAAAACTTATAAAAAGTCATCAGCCCCATATAATATAATCATTCATAGATTTGGATATATGGGTAGAGAGTGCATTGAAGAGGACAACAACAACAAGAAGAAGAACAACAACAACAACTGGGGCCTCCAAGCCATAGTTCATCCTCCACCACCATCAATGGCTAAAACAACAACAACAGCAGCACATGATGATGATGATGATGATGATTTATTATTGTTCCACACTCCCAACAACTTTTTTGATGTCTCCCAAGTTTCAACCTTTGGTGGTGATGGTGTTTTTGTGGGATTTTCCTCATCAGATGATGCTTTACTAGAGGAGCTTTACAAGCCCTTCTACCACCACCTGCCTAACTCACCCTCCATCTACTTGTCCACACGAGAACACGAACCCGAAGATCGCGACGATAGTGGTGATCACAAGATGAAGGGTTGTTACGATGAGTCCTCCCCGCCGAAGACTCCTAAATCCTCCTCCAAGTACAAAAAAAGGTCAGTTAGTTAAAAGTTATAGACAATGAAAAGAAAGAAAAAATTAATGTGTCTTTTTTTTTATAACTTTATTACAAATGGTGGGAACGAGGTTATGAACGAGTTTAGTTAAATGGTGATATGTGTTTTTATATTTCATTAATAATTTGGGGTTTTCTTTGATTTATGTTTGGGGGGGAATGAAGCAGGAATAGGAAAAATGAGCATAATAGAGTGGTGATTGAAGTGGAAGCTGAGGAGCTTTGTAAAGATAAGTGGGCTTGGAGAAAATATGGCCAGAAACCCATTAAAGGCTCACCTTACCCGAGGTATATATGTGTGTAACATATTAATATTTAATTTGTTCGTGATAGAATTTAGTCTATTAATTACTTTGTTTTCAACGTTCTGATGTGAGACTCGATCTGATCGCGTAATATATACCGTGCAATCGGTTGAACAATACTTTTCGTACTTCCGTGATGAATGCTTATATACGAGAAAATGAATACTCATTTTCGAACAATTAAATATTCATTTTCGACCAATTGAATATTCGAAAATGAGTATTTAAACGGATGTACGTGAAACATCATAGATACTTTGAGATGTATGGTATAGGTTACATATATAATTAATGGGACAATTAAATATGTTTGTGCAGGAGCTATTATAGGTGCAGTAGCTCGAAAGGGTGTTTGGCGAGGAAGCAAGTGGAGAGGAGCAATAGCAAGGCGGGGACGTTCGTGGTGACGTACACGGCGGAGCACAGCCACAGCCAGCCCACCAGGCGCAACTCTCTCGCCGGGACCATCAGGAACAAGTTCATTATACTGCCTCCTCCTGCCACCGCCGCCCCTGCCACGCCGCCTCGGCTTCTGATTCCGTCGTCAGCTTCCGATCCTCTGTCGTCGTCGGATTATAACTCGAGCGCGTGCAACGAGGGGGGAGGCGTGGCAGTGGTACGGAAGGAGCCGGAGACGATGAAAATGGAGGAGAATATTGGCGAAGATTTCTTTGCCGGTTTAGAGGATCTGGAGGGCCTTCTTTCACAGTTTTGTTACCCTTCTTCGTCTTCCTCTTCTTCTTCTTCTTCTTCACATGATCAGTATTACTACACCTCTTTCACTCCTTCAATGTTTTCAAGTTAGCCATTAGCACTGTACCATATGTGTTAGTATATCCATTAATGTTTGTGCAGTTTGGAAGAACCACAATATTATGTACTTCAGGCTTTTTTTTAGTTGTTGTGTAAATATATATATATACGGCCTACTCTTTTTTGTACTCACCATTTAAAAGAGAGAATTTTACACATTGTAGTAAATAGAAAGAATAATATGAAACGGAAGAAGTATATATTATTATGGATGTAGTAATTGTAATATTATAGAACGCCTCACATAGTTTGGGCAAGAATATCTAAAGACAGGTATAACCTCTATTCGAGTATAAAACCTTTCTTAGACCTACAAACACAAATTTGATCTTTTTGGTTGAGTTAGCTCCTAGATATGACATCAAGCCTTCTTAAACAATTGGTCACGAGTTTTGGAATTTGCCATCACACAATTTTAAAAAAAATTAATATTCACATGCAAAGAATACAAACACAATAGCTAGACTGGGATATGATAAGGAATACGTACTCTAGAGTGCATGGGCGGATATTTAGCTTAGGGCTAGTTCATTTCTGATTGGTTCTGACCTAATTTGATTATAATCATATTTAAAGTTATTTCTGAAATCTAATTTAAAATAGGATAAGTAATAAGTAAATCGAATAAATTAAAGAAAACAAACTCTTAGTTTGTTCTAAAGTACTAGCTAGAATGTGAACAAAGACAAGATCGAGGCCATACCATGGCAACCTCAACATGGTAGTAGCTACACACCCAATGTGTAATGGACTCTTTGTGGGCACTAAACACTAGTTGTCCCACCTAAAGGGTTGTTGAGTCACCAATCACCATAGTGTGCCCTTCCACAATCTTGTCAAGCCGCAGTGTGGGGGCAAGTGATAAGGGATTTCGCCTTTCGTGAACAACAAGGGCAAGGAGAAAAGTAAGAGTCGAACACGGTCGTACCTTGGAATGTCCATATGTGCATAATTAGGATAATATAGAAGAAAAAAACATAAAAGAGAGGTGATTCAAGTACCAACTAGAGATGTGGGCTTGGAAAGAAACCTATCAAAGGCTCCCCAAATCTGAGATATATGCCAAAATCGTACTTAGCAACATATATTTACATTAGATTCAGTGTATTCCCAATATGCCAACTGCATTAATAATCAAAACACCCGACACAATTTCCACTTGAATCATTCATTTATACAACAAAAAAAGCCATTTACCATATACCTGTCAATCCCTATTTAACCAAAAACAGTACTACAAAGAATAAGTAGAATGCACAAGAAAATGTTGAACACAAAGAATAAAAAGAAATTACACTTGAAGCTGGAAAATGCCCAATCCACGGCCATGTTGTGTGAGTTTTACTTTTCTTTCTCCAGCCCATTCCAGTCTATAAGATAAGTCAAGATTATGAACCAAAAGTTTTAATCTGTCTATTTCGTTTGAAGGCTCGGAGCTCCCCTGCGAGACATCAAACGGTATAACACAATCAAAGAATAATCGTTGAGGAAACGTTATCGCACTCAATTATAAACATATTATTATGAATTACATGTTCAAGTACACATGAATTCGTGAGTACCTTTGATGCATGTTGTCCATTTTTAGAAAAAGCAGCAGCAGTCATTATACTAATCCTTCTTGAATTAGGTGAGAACCCCTCCCATGGTGGAACGAAGATCAGTTTGGTGCACTGGACAGGAGCGAGATTCAGGGCAAGTTTCTCCCACCATACAGACCCTAAGGACCACCATCTAATCATCAGTCCATTCTCAGAGAAAGCAAGGAGCCCCTGCAACAAAATTTTCATCATTAAAACCAAACATTCAGCCCCACAGGACAAACCTTGAAGAAAAACCATTTGTCGGATGGGAGCTAAAAGATTTTATGTGTGACACACAATTTAAAATAATTTAATTTACAGGAAATCTTTTCTATAAACCTAAGAGTCGGTGGACAAGACTACTACGACAGCATGCAAGGTTGAGGGTTAAGAATTACTCCCTCCGTCCCATTTTATAACGCCTGTTTCGGTTTACGATGTTTGACTGAAATTATTTTTAAATCATTTTATATGACAAATGGTATATAGTTAAAAAATAAAAATTACATATTAAAATACTACATCAAAAGATCTACAAAACTAGTAGTGACAATAATATTTTATTTTATCAATTTGCTATCGAAAATTGAGAAAGAAAGTGAATGAAGTTTGACCCTGTGAATGGGACAGAGGAAGTAATAATTTAAGAGCAATTTAAACATAAAAAGGACAAGAAATGGTGATTGTACAAAGCCCAGGAAATGCTAACTAAAGATAGAGGTGCATTTCTTAAAACACTAAATATAGAAACATAGTCAAGCAAGAAACTTATTACTCCCTCTGTCTCATAAAACTTTTCCACTTTAAAAAAAAGTGGGATTTAAGGAATGTGTAATTTGTGTTTCTTTCCAATTTAGCCCTTACTTTATAGTAGGGTAGGATAGGATGTGATATGTAGATAGTGAATAGATATGATGTGATAGATAGGTTAATAAAAAGTAAGGGTGAAAGGGAGATTTTCATTGAAAGTGGAAGTGTTTCTTGGGACGGATGAAAAGTGAAAGTGGAAACAGTTTTTTCGAACGGGGGAGTATAGGTGCATAAACTACCGGTAGAGATTTCTAAATTCTAATGGCTCAGAGATTGTCAGTTTTCTCTTCATGGTTGTAATAACAAGCCATGGCCCCTGGGGTATAAAAGTAGACATATAATGAGGGAATCACAAGTCCCTAGAAAACAAAGGTGGATATTGCATAGAAACTCAAGCATGAGAGAAACTCAGCTCCTGAAGCATAATACTAGAATACCTCTCCATCTGGTGAAAAACTAAGGGCAGATATTGAAGTATTTACAGCCATTTCTGAAGCTTCTCCAATTAAACTTGGATGTCCCGGTGGTCCACTTGCATCCAAGATCTTTATTTTGGTAATGCTGAATATTTATTGAAAAGAAAAGCAATGAAATCGTTGATGTAAACAGGAGGGGAACCCCCCCCCCCTACTTAATGTGGGCAATCACAAAAAATTTTACAAATTAATTATTTACATATCTGATGTATTATAAACAATACTTTAATGAAGTATATGCATGTGGTGTTGTGTTCTTAAAGTCGAATGTTGTCAGTTATTACCTTTGCATATCATATATACGAATGCTTGTATTGTTTATATCACCAATTGCATCTCCGATGGCCAGCTTTGTTGATGAATCATTAAGGGCTACCATAGGAAATATACGAACCATTTCCTTCAATGCAACCATTGAGCTTGGCAAGCAAGCCCTACACATTACCGAGTTACTAGGATCCATTGTCTGTAAAATGAAAGTAACCACCTGCATACCTGTCAAAATGTTAGATATGCTTAGATTTGGAAGTGGTTTGATGCTTAGGAGTTGGAAGAAGAGTTTAATACATGCTTAGAGATGTGATGAATAATAGATAAATTGTGCCTTTAGAAAAGAACATAGAACCACATTTAAAAGATATACCCCTTCTGTTCCAATATTAAATTCCCACTTTGCCGTTCACGGAGTTTAAGAAAAGTGCTGAAATGTGAAAAGGCAGAAATGAGAACTGTATTTTGGAACTTTTCAAAAAGGAAAGTGGAACTTAATTCAGAACAAAAATTGGGACAATTGGCAACAATTTTAATCATTCTTGTAAAAAAATCAATTGTCCCAATTTTTTTTGCTTTCGGTTCAAAAAAATATGGGACAATTGATTTTTTTACAAGAATGATTAAAATTTTAAAGTGTTTGTGCCAACAATGTAGCAGAACATCTAAATAGTGTTCTTTCCTTTAGCATCAAACATCCACCCCCTTATAACTTACACATCTCCAGTACAAAAATGAATAAAGGACCTAATTAATATGGAAAACGGTAAAAATTTCGCGTATCATGAGACATTGAATTCTTGAAGAATAAATAGATGTAGTCTAAAGTTCAGGAGAGCTATTTTCCACAGCGATAATTGTCTAATATTGAAGACTGAATATTTATTTCTCTATCCAAAACATGCATCTTTACGTACCTTGTCAAGGTACTGAACTAAACTCCTTGGAGAACCACGTGCAACCCTAGTAAGAGTCATGAGGGATACTGCATGCACAGGTGAATCAGATGCAGTTGACCAAATTTGGCTTTCAATTACATTAAGATAACCGGGCACGTCAGCAATTGCCAAAGTTGGGAGAAGAACATCAACTAGAGTTTCATGAATATTTCCAGATTGGGCTGACATTTGTGTGGATGCATTAGCAGACGCACCACTGACACACTCAATTTGAAAGAAAATATCCGCTATCAGTCGAGTTACTTCAGAACCAATGATTGCCTTCCACATGCTCTCCATTCCTTCTGCTAGAATCTCTGCAGCAGTGGAACTATATCTTTCATTCATAGCCATTACCAATTTCATCAGTGGGTGAACAACTAGCATGGGAAGTTTTGGCTTCACAAGGCTAGGATACCAAACGGACAATGCAGCAGCAAGAATGATATGAGATGTCATTGCATCTTGACTTGTTCCCCCGACACAAGAAATCCAGTCTTGCATTTCAAAAGACTCTAGCCATGATAATATTTCTGATTCTTTATCCTCAGAATCTGTTTCCAACCGAATGTGCCTCTCATACTTTTCATTTTCTGACAGTCCATATGAATAATCCATAAGATCTTCACGATGATTTGTTTTATTCATGCAGAGTGGAGGAGGTAGAGCTCGTGAAGCAGCACAATGGAACAAAGAACGTGCAGCCATTTTTACATGTTCAATCTCATCTTGCCAAAAGCTTACTAAAAGCTTAAAAAACAATGTAATTAAATAAGTGATTATCAAAAAGGTTGACTTAATAAATATAAACAAAAGATTCTACTGATGATTATTAAACAGTAAAAAAATTGAAAGATGCTTGACTTTCATGAACAAGGGAATATGTTACAAGCATTTAACTTACTAGACATGCATGGATTTGGATATCAGAACTACCCAAGCTATCGGTGCTCATACCAGAAACTGTTGAATAATACCGTTGTCTTAAAGTCCTAAAGTTAGAGGAAAAGTAACTCACACTCTAATAAGGAACGTGAAGTCTTGCATATAAGAATATGGAATTCTAGAAAGTTCGATACGGATATAAAGTATGTGCAAAATAGATGTGCATCGCTGCCTGCTTACAGCTCTGTTTCTCATGTGTTCAAGTGCCCCAACGAAGGAACCAAAAGTTCATTTGTTCGTATTAAAGCAAGTTGAAGTGATATAGTCAAGAAATTCAAGTTTAAGATCAAGTGTTTAATTTTCAAATTACAAGTTTAAACATTTTCATATGCTTTAGCTTGAAAAAGGAAAAGAGGAGATAGCCGGGGGGGGGGGAGCTGAATTATATTGCTGACAGTCCTAAAGTCAGTGGAAAAGCAATTCACACACCTAAAATAATAGCAGTAAGGAAAATCGCAGATGAAATTAGACCATATTACAACAAGAAAATTCTGCCGAAACATAATAGTCAAAGACCCGTGTCTACATCCAACTAAACACAAGATATTTGAATAAGGAATGTAAAAAGCTTTTCACATAGCATGTTACCTGCAGTAAAGGGGGCTTAATGTTTGGGATCTTTTCTGTCAAATTGCGCATATAAAATGCTGAAAATGCACTGCAAGTAAGACGCATTGCAACAGAGTCATTAATATAAGTTCCAAAAGCCATACAATGTTTCAAAAGTGGAAGGAATAAGAAATCCAATGCACACCTCATTCTTTGTAAATTTTCAAGACAAAATAAATTACCTTTTGATAGTGGGAGAATAACTTATTATGGAAGATGTTTACCCAAAAATAATTAATTTCTATGTATAATACTCTGTATAATGTTTAATACAGAAAAACAAAAAAATGAACTGCTTCAGAAGAGAAAGTCATTTTCATCAAAGCTAAAAAGAATCATGAAAGGTAATTTCCTTCGGGAAACAGTTCTTCCTTCCAAAGTCCAAACCCAGGAAAATCTACACTTTTTTCCAAAAACTGGACTGGTGGGAGCCTTAAAAAAATGAGCCCACAATAGCTAGATATGAGTAATTACTGAAGAGAACGTGCACCATTATTGTAAAGTAACATCCAGCAATAAGGACATGCAATTCAATGTAGAGAGCTAGAGTAAATATGAGTATGTATATTACGACATACAGTACCTGCTAGCTGCTGAATAGCCAGGTGACAAGCTAATGATATGTTGGGCAAGGGAGACCATAGTTAGTGAGCGAATAGCGCAATACTCGGATGATGATTTCCAAAGCTGCATAATCAGTTTATGTCTTAGGAGAATGATGTATGGAGGAAGTTGATGAGTGGGTCAGATATAGATCATTACACTACCTCAAGAGTTGCAGGAGCATCTGGAAATGACAACGTCAAAGACCCTCTATCCCCTAGTAGACCAGAAGATATAAGAAAATTTGTAGGTCTCTTGAGCTTCATTTCAGTCACTAGCAGTTCATCAAGTTCATAATCCACA